TTTGAAATTTTATACAAACATTCAAACGTTGCATAATAAACGATGACCATCTCTCTAATTTCTTCAATATAGGGCGTGGTTGTCGTCAAGGTGACCCACTTTCGCCGTATATTTTCATAATAGTTGTAGAACTTTTATCTATAGCTGTTACAGCTAACAAAGATGTAAAAGGTATTATTATTAATAACAGGGATATATGTTTGAGTCAATATGTTGATGATGTTTATTTACTAATGGATGGTTCTAAAAAATCCTTCAGACCAGTTGTTAATTTGTTAAAACAATTTTCAGGGTTAAAGATAAATTTACAGAAATCGAGTTTTATTGGATTGGAAGTGAAACAGTATCAGAGGAACGTATATGTCCGGAGCTGAATTTAAATTGGTCCTCATCTGTGTTTAAATTACTGGGTATAAAATTCTCTTTAAATCTAGAGGAGATGGTGAAATAAGTTTTCAAAAACAAAATTCTTCAAATAGAAGAATTACTTGGATTTCGGAACAACAAAGATATCTCAATGATTGGTAGAATCACAGTGGTAAAAACATTAGTAGTTTCTAAATTTGTGTATTTATTCACATCATTGCCAAATCCACCGAAACAGTTTCTAGACAAACTAAAGAAACTTATATTCAACTTCATTTGGAATGGCAAGACAGAAGATTAAGAGACATCCTTATATGTAAAATAGAAGAATGTGGTCTTGGTGCAACGCATCAAATAATAAATATTTAGAAATGAAATTGATAAAATTGATAAATTTATGACGAGTGTTGTGTTTCTTGTAAATCAATTTAGTAGAAGTAGCAAGACATGTAAAATGTTTTTGGAAAGATGTAATCAATGCTCTATCAGAATTACAGACATTTCACACAATGGAAACAACATGGATTAAAGACTATATCTGATATTTTCGATAATCATGGTAATGTTAAAATTGTTTAATGAATTCCAAGGAACAACTGGTTTACACTATTTAAACTAGTATGCACTTGTCAGCAAAGCAGATAGAAAATGGGAACAAGAATATAGAGAAGAACGTCTTAATGGAATAAATGTTAAGCCATTATAAAGAAATGATGCTATCAAAATCCGATTCCAATTTTTAACATTCCATTTTTACTGCCAAATATGTTCAAATATCAATTAAAAGTCAAGAGAAATGTCAATCAGGATTAAACTTGCATATGTTTTATACAAAAATATATTCAATTATACACAGGACACAAAATTACCAACATTTCATATAAGATATATCACATGATCCTATCAATCAATTATTTATTGTACAAAATGCAGATTGTTCCAAATAACAAATGTACTTTCTGTCAAAGAGAACCTGAAACAGTGGAACACATTTTTTCCAAATGTTTTTTATTCAGTACAAAGTTTTGACACTGGTATTCACACTATGATCCAATTGACCAATATTATTTTAGAGAAATTGACATCTTGTGTGGCAATCGACAGTTCGGTAAGGTTTTAAACTCCTCACAAAACATCACAGATCTTACAGTCATGTTAATCATTTAATACCAAACGTTTTGGCGAATAAATCTATTTTCAAAAAAAGTAATGACTGCTGAAAAATGAACTGCCTCAAAAAAACAACACTATGAAGGATTTCGAGAAAAATGGGGAATTTATCCAAGTCTTCTTTCAGATAATTTATTTTCATTTTTCATCTACTGGTATCAACGTTCTTAAGGTTTAAGGTGTCATCATTTAGGCAATAAAATGTAGTTACGTCCCTTAAAAGTATCCTTTACTAAATAGAAATATAAAGCCCAGCCTTCCCCCTGAGGGCCTTCATCAGTCCATAGTCTTTGTTTGCTATTACAAGACATTCAGTGTGTGTTATGTGTGACAGGTGTGTGCAAATTTGATCAACTTGTATAAAACAAAACTGTACAAAGAACTGTTTGAAAGTGGTGTGAAGAAGTTGTAATTAAAGACCGGAGATATTTGGAAAAAAATCTATGGTAAAAATAGACTATGTAAATATTTATATTTTTTACGTATGAATGGTGTGCGGTGTGCGAAAACCCTTCTGTTGAGAGAGCATTATTTGTAAGGGACTGGAATAATAAAAAGAAATCTAAATTCCAAAAAATAGGGCAAAATATGAACAAAAGAAAGATTACACGGACATTTGTGATGCTCGTTACTTTACCTGTTGGTTCCGTTGTTGGATACCTTGTTCTAGCTTAAGAATGTGTAATTATTTGAAGCAGAAGACGCTTACTCTTCCGAAACACATTGTCTTATAATCCTTGTACATTTTCAGGAATCTTCACGAAATCTTTCTTTTGTTCAAACATTGCATAGTTTTATAGACTTTGAGTTTGAATTATGGTGATGTTGATATGTTGGTATTTTCTTGACGTTTTTCATCCAAGCCTCGTCGTAAGTATGTAAAGCATAGTGGCTGTAACAAATACTGACATTTGCACAAGTTGATTAGTTTAACTTGACTAGGTAATTTTTTGTTGATGATATCATGTTAATAAAGTTATTTTTAAAAAATAAATATAACGAACAAAATTAAACCCAAACTAAGATCATGATCTCACGACAAGTATACATAATGGTCAACATTTTCATCCCGAGGTGCTGTTGATAACGTTATATCAGTGTGACTTATGCCTCGACAAAGTAATACACATCTACAAATGAACTTTATGTTACAATCGGTGGTGACATTTTTATTACTATCACAATGTTTCACACAAAATAAAAAAACATCTAGTTTAGAAGAAAAATCGCCATCAGTAATCATCACGTAAACAATACGCTTTAAAACGGTTTTGAATGATAAAATATATATAGACGTAATCTGTTACACAGCGTCTTATAGGGTAAATGAAGCTCGCCGTGGCTGAAATATGACATTGACATCATGCGTCCCTTGACCTCGTTCCGCCTTCAAAATATGCATCATCACTTGGCTATGGTTAACGTCTTTGTGCCGAGAGATACTACAAATGTTATTGCATCTCATATGACTAAACATATTTAATGGTTAAGTTATTCTGGAGGCGCTATATTTTTGTTTGGTTTATATATTGATACATTCAGTACAGTAATGGCCTGTCAACACATAAAAGGTCGTTAGAGCCATCAACCGGTAAAACACACAGCGATCCAGAAAAGAGTAAATAATTTAAAAACCGCAACTATCTTACTATTGAAACACGTCTACTCTACTAATTGATATTTTCAACGTCTGAAGGGCGCTTTAGGAAGTTAGGGTTAGGGTTAAGGTCACGATACTTGTAGTTGATGTAGTGTTATGTGATATCATGAACATGACAAAACCAAAAAGACGATGTATGATAATTAGTTGACATAACAAGGTTTCCACAAAAGGACATGCTGGCAAAATACAATGTAAAATTGGCAACATAGTGTGTCTGACTCCACAAAATAGTTACTTCACGTTTCGTTTAACTCAAATCCACGACACTTTAACTTGACACTATGGCAGGACTTATCATGATTACTGAACAATGGTGTTTCAACTCAACATCGCGCCGATATTGGTCAACAACATGACATGACACGTCCAAGATTTTCAATGCCGAAATAAGATCATGGCATACTAATCAACATCATGATATTGTAACACCATAACTGATAAACCACACACAATGACATATTAACCAAGCGACATGAAATTCTGACCCAACACCATGTGAACACAGCATCATGAAATTCTCTCCCAACACAAGGACATAATAACCCAACATCATGATATTCTTACCCATCACAAGAACAAATAACCCAGCATCATGATATTCTTACCCAACAAATGGGCATAATAACCCAACATCATGATATTCTTACCCATCACAAGAACAAATAACCCAGCATCATGATATTCTTACCCAACAAATGGGCATAATAACACAGCATCATGATATTCTTACCCATCACAAGAACAAATAACCCAGCATCATGATAGTCTTACCCAACAAATGGGCATAATAACCCAGCATCATGATATTCTTACCCAACACAAGGACATCATAACCCAGAATTGTGATATTCTTAAACAACACAAGGACATTATAACCCAGATTCATGATATTCTTACCCAACACAAGGACATACCAACGTAGCATCATTATATTCTTACACAACACAAGAACACATTAATCTAGCATCATGATATTTGAACCCTACACCATGACACATTAACCCAGCATTATGATAGTCTTACCCCACACAAGGATATATTAACCTAGCATCATGATATTTGAACCCTACACCATGACACATTAACTTAGCATTATGATATTCTTACCCAACACAAGGACATAATAACGTAACATCACGCAGTTTCTGAAAATAATGTGATCGGCTGGATTTCATGATACGGTAACAATGTAACAACTCTCCGGTGCGTTGTAGCTGTAATATCATGTGTCATTAAAGCCAACAACAGTGGAATAATACTTCAAATGACCCCAAACGATAATTGCATCGAATATCCCATAAATTATGTATCTTGTTCTTACATTACCCAACCACAGAAAGGACGACAGAGTCCGTGACTGTGTAATATACACATGTTCTTGTCAATTAGTACAGTCTTCAATATTAACGAGCATTCGATGCATGTCCCGGCGAAATGTAGCCAGTAAATGTTCTAGTAGATATAGCTATTTAAACTACATAGTCGTCTATCTACTGCACACTAAGAAGCAAACGGAGGTGCAGATATGGATTTTGGGAATTGTTTTGTGTACATCATATTATTAATGACAACATTCACACTCGTGCTGTCCTTTTGCACAGATTTATCTTCATTTCATGGCTATACCCATGGAATTAGACTCGAATGTTACGGTAACTGTAAATACAACATATCTGGTGGGATTGGCTTAACTCTTTGTTTGAAGGAATGTCTCTTGTTTTCCTTCTGTACGGCTGTGAATTATAACCGAGATACATTACAGTGTGAGCTGGTCTACATTCAAGAACCTCTTCGAGATGACATGGTGATTGCTAATTCAAACTTCGTGTCTGTGAACGCTACCGACATACCACAGGTAGGTTACTTCGAGTTTTGCGAGTTCTGTATTACAAATTGTTAATTAGCTTTATGTATCTGCACACTACGACAAGAAACGACACAGCAATGAGTATGAATGAAAAAGGCCACCCTTACAGAGAGGGTGACTATGTATTTATTTATGAAATTAAAAACATATCTTACAGTTACAAAAACCGTAAAATGAACAAAAGATATATTTTTAGTAATTATAATAAAAAGCCAATGCGGGGTTAACAAAAAAAAACCGCCACAAAGACATGACAAAATGTCTTCCCCACAAAGGCGACCTATGAATAATAAAGTTGTGGAAATACAAGGCTGGAAACCCATACAAAACTACCCAAGCCACATAGTTATCTTTTGATTGAATATACACATTGGCAACAAACAAAAACAATGGACCTGGCCCAAGCAAGATCCAACAAGATTCTTATTAGTATACCAAAATGAACTTAATCCGATGAATGTGAAGACACTTGATCTACATCTACCAGACCAAAGTGGTTGATGCTTCACATTTACAAAGAATTTACTAAACTAAACATTGCATATGAAAATGAAAAGAAAAAATACCAATAGACAATAGTTAAAAATTGTTAACAGAGATCGGTCCACGCAAGGTCTGAAACTATCTATCTTCAGCATCAAAATGATGCATATGGGCACAACGAACATGACCGACTAACAGGAACCTGAGCCAGAGGGCTAATGGCCATAAATCGGTGTGACAGAACTTGCCCAAGCAAGCTCTGTTAAAACATGCATTATCAAAATATATAGCTGCAAAAAGAAAAGCTCTGAAAAAATATGCACCATAAGGACAAGATACATATATACACATTACAAGTTAAATCAGATGATTGCAAAATAAACGGCCGCAAAGGCAGTGTACAACAAGTGCACCACACAGTCCATAACACACCACGGCAAAAGTTATAAATGTGAGCACCTCAAATATCAGGTGACAGAACTGGCCCAAGCAAGCTCTGACAACTAAAATTGTGTCCGGAATATAACACAATAATGTCACCGTACGCAAAGTTTACCAAGCACAAAAACAGCATTCATGTAAGAAAAGGGGTGTATCCAAAATATTGAAATGCAGCAAGTTTGTCAAAGATACACTTGACACGATGTCGACTGACAGGTGGGTCCATTAAATATAGCAGTATTTAGGCTTTAAAGAGGAACTAGCCCTATTAAACAGCTACATAAAGATAACCAAATGGCCCAAGCAATCCGGTTATGGAGCAGCTGACCTTATGTACTTTCTGAAAGCATTTGAGGACCATCTACCACAAGAACGAAGCTGAGAGTCTGACATGCCTCTCTGTGACCAATATGATGCTGCCCCAATACGAAAACTGTGGCCTTTGTACACAGAACTGTCCAAGCCTGCGAATGCCAAACAGGACTTTAACATACGGTCAAAGTAAGCACGTGGCACAGGTTTCTGATTCAGTAGTAAAAAGACAGGACCCTCTCCCTTGCCTCTATATGTGAGGTAAGTATTGAGTGCCGTTACCGCAGAGAAGACCACAGGGCCATGACTAAATGTAATAGCATGACGTTTCCTTTGCAGGTTATGTTTGAAATTATAAAAATCCACCTGAACAGTAGGTGGAGTCTGTAATCTTGAGAATGCAAGATGTTGAAACTGAACCAGATTAACAGTACTTTCTGTTGCTGCAATCTCACCAACTCGAGCAAATGTACTAAACGCAAAAAGAAACATTGCTTGAAACAAAGCAATTTCAAATGCATTCTGAGCAACATGCTGTAGAGCCTAAGTATCGTGCTCAACACTTCAACCGTAATTGGTAGTCTCATATCCACTGAAGGACTTAATCTATAACAACCTGCAACTAATTTCTTCACTAAGAAAGACTCTGTAGGGTCAAAATTGTGCAGAAGCTTATGTACATATGCTACTGCTGACAAATATGTTGAAATAGTCTTAGGTGAACATTGTTTATGATGCAGATGGGCAACAAATAGAGCAATATGACAAGGAGAGATGCAAGCACTCCCTGATGAAAAACCCTGTGTCATAGCGAACTGGTCAAAAAGGTTCCAAGCCCTAGTATAAATTGCTTTACTGGAAGGAGCTAAAGACGACGCTAAAAGTTCTTCAATGTGTTGAAAAAGGCCTGTGGAAGGAACGCTTCTGGTACAAACACAGGTTCTCTCTGAGCAGATGGTGCAAGGACCCTGAAAGCTTCCATCTGCAACCGAGAAAGAGAGTCAGCCTGAACATTTTTGACACCCGGAATATGCTTTGCTCGAAAGTTAATATTAAGACGTAAGCAATGCAAAACCAACCATCGCACCATATGCAATAATGTTGGATCCTTGCTGGTTTGCTTATTTATGACAGGCACCAGAGCCTCATTATCTGTAAAGAATAAGATACTGTGGTTTTTCCACAGTGAACCAAAAACTTTCAAGGCTAGTAAATTGGGGTAAAATTCCAGAATAGAAATATGATATACTTTCCAATCAGCAGGAAAGGAACCATTAAACCACTGCTCCTTAAAAATAGCTCCATAACCTAGAGTGCTAGCAGCATCTGTATGCAGCTGCAAGGTATCATTTGAGACAAATTGCTCTTGTATGAAAATATTACAACCATTAATGGGGAAAACTTCATATTTGCAAAACGTTGTTCAGCAAAAGGGCCCTGAATACGACCCAGGCTAACTTCTTTGTCTAATTTTCTTCGCACAATATCAGGATTATCAAGCGCTGACTTAAGATTAACACAGTCCTAAAAACCTCTAGCACCTTCAAAATTTAACTTAAATCCCTGTTGAAACCCTTGAATCAAATAATCTAAACTAAATGGATCATAACCCTGCAAAAATGCTCTAAGCATATTAACCTTCACAGGGGTGTTCGGTGAGCGAGAAGTACCTTGAGTCCTACTGCTTTTTATTTGAGGAAAATTGGTTCCCCTTATCCCCTGCAAACCCACTTTTGGCTTTGTCGGAGGATTGGCCATTGACTTGGGCTTTGAAGCACTTGACCTTGGGGTGAGATGAAAGCCCGCAGTAGGAGCAGGCATGTCGGTACCGACAGCCAGAGCATGTGAACCCGTTGTTGAATTTAAAACAAACCTGGCCCTGTCGAGTCCGAAAGGGCTGCCCTGATTGGAAAGCACCAGCACTATCAGCTCGTCGACGTGACAGAGCTATGGCGTACTGCTGGTGTTCCAGAGTTTCCCCAGAAATCGCAGCACAACCCTGACGTAATTTCCTAAAATTCACATCATAATAATGCCAGTCCCCACCAGCATTAGAAATGCTGCGAATAACGCTTTGGTAAATTGCCAGACCTTCCATTTCCTTGGGAAACTTGATACGCCGAACAGAGGCATAGATGTTAAACGCATCTGTCCATTTTTCAATCGTAAGGAATTGCTTCTTGGTGGCAGGAATAATCCCTAACACCCCATCCTTATTCATTTTGAAGGTGAAATCCCCTTCAGCTTGATCCTGATGGAGGATACCAAGCTCTACAAAGCCCCCAGCCCAAATTTTCTCCTTTAACTTAAGAGGTACCTTTGCATGTAGAGGTGGGCATGTCAGAGGGGAAGGGGATGAAAAAAAACTTAATGAATTAACTGTGTCAACTTGTCAATATTAGTACCAGTAATGGGCGCCACATGTGGTGCCACTTGTGGTGTGGTTTGGGACACCACAGGGACCTCCTGACTGGGAAGAACAGGATAGGAGGAAGGTGTAGGTGCTGCTGCAGGCTCAACATAACGGAATGACGCACTGAATGTCGTCAGTAATAGCAGCTGTGATGGAACTAAGCTGCTCCTCGGAGATAGCCCAAAAAAATCCTGACTTGGTAATTGAATCATATTGGTCGGAGGCTGCGTTGAGGAGGTTGCCTGCTCCTGTGACTCTGCTTTGTGACCTGCAGGCCTAGTGGACCTTTTCCTGCCATTATGCTTTGGCACATTGGCATCTGGACCAGCTTTCCTTTTTGGCATAATTAGTTTCTAGCTTCCTTCTCTCAAACTGGAAGATAAAACTGGAACATTAGATAACTCAAACTTGATAAACAATAAATGCCAGCCAATGCTGATATTATGACTGTATGAAAACATCCATCTAAAGGACCTAGCATACACTTGTGTTCAGATTAATTTTTTTTTTTTAATAAAAAAACAAAAAGGAAAGTATGAATGAAATCTGAAGTGAAGTTTAACAATATAGACATACCACACATGACAACCAAACTATACCAAGTCTTTTATATATCTGTACCTATCAATGAAACCAGAAATAACACAAAGTGAAGTTGAAATGAAAATATGCCGTAGAACCGGGTGCACCTGATAGTGTCAAGCACGAAACTGATTTTAAAAGCATAAACCGCAGATACAGATTATCCCATCACATACTGACAACAGATAGAGAGGAACAAAACTTGGTACAGAAAATAAGTAGAAATATGCCAGCCCAAAACCCAGGCTAAAATGGTGACGTAATTATACAAACAGCCCAGCCCGATAAGTGCAAGCAGCCTCAAACAGTGCATAATAGCAAACAAAATGGCCAAAATCATAGCAATAGCAATCAACATAGCCCAAGGGGCTAAAACTGGCCAAAATTCCTTCGCTGAGCTACAGCAAGGAAGCAATGGAGGCAAAGGGGCTCAAAAAGGGCAAATGTCACACATAATCAGTGTAAAATGGAAACATAGCCTGGGCCAGGGCCAACAATATTGGTAATTTCAAATTAATTCAAACTGTGTACAATATATATATAAATGACAACAAAATGTAACCATGGTCAAATTTATTGTAAAACATAGCCTTAGGGCTAAATTGACCAAAATCTCATGTAGAGGAACTTGTAATCAGTATCAGACCTCCAGCTAAAAAGAGAATAACCCACATGGGCTAAAAATAAATCATAGCCAATGGCTAAAAACTGGAGAATCATGATACCCATACCATGCCTGCAGGTATCACCTACAGCATATATAATATAAAAACTCATCATTGAGCATTTAATGACTGACAAAGAGCGCACTACTGTGCAAAAGTCACAGACTGACAAATAAACTAAAATTAATATATTTGAACTAAATTAAGAATAATGCGAACCCATCCAACTGTAAACACCTCGGTAACCTACAACACTAACTTTCTTTCGACTACACAAATTGGTCACAAGCATGTTTTATGGCATGGTAAAATTTTCGCATCCCTATTTGGTTCAAATGGCACCCATCGCTAGTAAATAAATGCAAGGGGCTTTGAAAAATCCGCCGGTGTTTCCAAATGCTGACATGATCATGTGTAACCGCTAACACACATAGCGCTTTGTTTACCCCGACACGCCTGCCTTCATACACTGAGGGGGCCATACCACGGGGACGCGGTCGAGTAAAAAGTTCACATACAGAAACTTGAACTTGCCAATTGTCATACAAATGAATGGCAAAATTAAAAATTTCACTGGCGAGTCTTGCTGGGGAAATATGAGAGTCACAACAATCATTGCCACCAATCTGTAAAATCACAACATGAGGCTGAAAATCGTTCAACAAGTCCACAATACGACGGTCACGGAAAAAAACCCATACCGTGCCTCCACCGACACCAAACCCGCGCACCTCGCACTGTGAGAGATTGAAGTCAACTGGGAAAATACCCGAATAAACATCCTTAAACAAACGTCTGACAAAGCTGTGACCTAAAACAATCACCCGGGGACGAATATCAGAAAAAGTAGTCATAAGGAAATGTTTGATATAGTACACAAATCAAAAATATACTTATATATTTAGGCGAAGTCTTGTGCAGTAGTGGCGTACTGGTCTGTCATCCTAGTCGTAGCCAGGTGTAAGCTGAACGTTCACAGTACGTAATAATTAAGATTATAACGATCCTCCCCGAACTCTGGACGTGCATCAAAAACCTCAGGTCTCGACCCGAATCGAAATCCAGGAAAAATGTAGGCAAATCAGACGGAAAAGAAAACGAAAAGTTCCAAAAGTTTCTCCGCACTCCAAAAGTTTCAACGGTCAGCCAGGATATCAAGAAAAACTGCTTAAAAGCACACAGTCCAAAAGAAATTCGGTATAAAATGCATACACTTCATTCAGTGAAACATATGCCGAAAAAAAGATATCGAAGATTACGATAAATTTTGCATAACAAATGCAAATCCACTCCACTAATTGAACTACGTATTGATACAATTAAAGATGGCTGCGTTATGAGAGGGGTCTCAGCATCCGCGCGAAAGTAACTGACCAATCAGATGACCGATGACCCTCTTATTCAAGGGACATAACTCTTAGTTATTTTTGGAAAGAAAATCAAGGGAAATAACTCGTATATCTATTGAACAAAAAATTTGACAATAAAAATATCTTGTATAGTGTTTCCGATACATAAATTAAGCTAATGCCTTAGCTGCCTTTTATGTACTTCGTAGCACATCATAGCGTCCCGTTAACATATGTAAATGCATACGTAGGGAGATGTCCTGAAAGAACCGTTGGTTGAAACGTCTGTGCACAACTACAGCATGACGCTGAGTATCTGAGAATGTTAATGTCATTAGGACTCGTTCCTCTTAATAACTTTTAAAATAAATCATGCACCTGTTGAAAAAAGAGGGCGCTAATAACAAAAGACATCTTTTTAAAACATACAATGCCTACGGTTGCAGTCGTTGGTTCTATCAAAGATGTAATTTACAGTTGTCATGTTATTGATGTCATTGTAATATTCGACATGAACATGTCCGATCAAATTTATTTTTTCGCTTTGTTGACTTAGATATTCTTGGTAGAATATATCGTGTTCTCTTGTCACAGGAACTGGCAGGAGTTTGTGGCAACCACGATTGTCTATTTAGTGAAAAATGTGTACAACTAACATCAAGGACAAGTACATGTTCTACTCACGGTAAGTGTATTGATTGATCATAGCAGTATATGTCGCACATTCTTTATTCACGGTAAGTGTATTGATTGACCATAGCAATATATGGCGTCTTGATATTGGGTGGGAGTGTCATGCTACACATATAAAACCCAAATATAACCAAGGAGTATTGGATAACGTATGGAGCGATATCCATGCGATCAGACTGAACTGACAATGTGCAGTCATTATGAATCCCAGGGGACCTGGAGGCGGGGCTTAAAGAGGTCCAGTTGACTCAAATTTTTCAAAAATCTTCTCAGCACAGGGATATGGTAGAATCAAATGCATTTCATGGATAGAATGGTGTTGAAGTGATTAACCATATTTTTTAAAATTCCATTCCATTTCTCGCAATTTTTCCGTGGGGAAATCTACTGTAGTTGATACAGGAAATGTACATTCGGAACGTCATTTGTCTATTTTCGAATTAAATTATTAAAAACTTTGTTTGAATTATGCAAATGCAAAAGATGATGGCTTGATGATATGCACATATTGGTATTGGTTGACCCCCAGTGGTTGATGGGCGGGCCCTAAAGGAGTCAAATAAGATGAAAGCGTCTTGGGATGCTTTACAATAACTGAATTTCAAAGCCACATGTGTTCATATTTCCCCCTTGATTATTATTATTATTACAATTTAACGTACATGAATATATAAGGTATGTATGGTCCATCCGAAGACGAGGAAGGACAACTTCGTCTCGGTGGTTGTCTCTATAGCATGGATACCATTCACCGATGATTGGTTTAACGGAGTGCAGTTTTATTATTGGTATATTGATTCCATTCCTCCTGCTGTTGAACATAAATGGTTTAAGATCAGTTAAATGAAGTTTAAAAACAACCGATGGTAGCAATAAAGCTTCCTTTGTGGCACGATTTACTTCTTCATTGCCTGGTATTCCCATGTACCCTGAAACACAGCAAAAGGCAATACGATAGTTAATATCATTAATATATCAATGCATACATGTAGTAAAAATGAAATAAATTTCAAATGCTGCTGGATTTGCATCCCCAATAGACTTCCGACCTCTTCATTGAACATTCTTGAGTTTTTTTATGATACCTACAACAACACGATCGCAATGTTTCTCGAAAACTCGGTGTTATCAATCATTTCATGATATAGTATTAATGTATAATGAATTAAAATATTTTCCATATTTCTATTGCTAAGACTTTGCAGTTCGCGCGTCCGCCGAGAATATTGAGGCGTTGTTCGGTAACCTTCATCTTGTGTAACCATGGCCGCGGCAACTTTATCATTATCTGATGCCTGGTCTTCCCATGTGCCCAGGAACCAAGCAAAAAGCATTACGAAAGTTAAAGTCAAGTTCATGATATAGTATTAAGGTATTACGAATGAACATATTTTTGATATTTCCATTGCTAAGACTTTGTACAACAGAAAGAGAGTCTGAATGGATAACAGCTTTCATTACGTTGTTTCTTTGAATATATTCAAGGGCGATGAAGATAGCTCGCGCTTCTGCCGAGAATATTAAAGCGTTGTTAGGTAGTCGGGATCCATAGGTTTCATCTTGTGTAACCATGGCCGCATCAACCTTATTATCATTTGAACCATTAGTATATAAATGTAGAAATATTTTATATTTTAACTGCGATTTCGAGAAAGTTGAACGAAAGGTGCAGTTGTCAAGTGTCTGATATAATCATTTCATAAAGTGAAAAGTCAGCTTCAGGTTGGTCCGAGAGCTATGGTGGAATTTATATCGTTCCCATTGGCTGAGTTTGGTCAATATTAATATTTGTGTTTTTCGTAAGAGCGGAATCCGAATACTGAATTGTCTGTGTTTTTTTTTATACAAGGTGTTGCATTTTGGATCAAATACAAGTGAAAAAGAACGGTTTGAAGGATTTGACTTTAGCTAAATAGTGTATTGCAAAGCCAATTTATTTCGACGGCTATATATTTTCAATTATACATGAAAGATTAAAAAGTGCCCATAACTTTTGCATCGTCCTCTTTCCAGTTGAAAAATAGAATCTATATATGCTAATGGAGAATATCGCCAAGAAAAGGCTAACACATTCCTGTACCGTAGAAACGAAAAGTTCTGTGTGATTGTAAGTAAGAGAATAACACCTTTTCACAATAGGGAAATTGACATTACCTCGTCTATCATACAGCTTGGCGGACACCTGTTATGCTGGTTTCGTAGGAAAAAATAAGCAGCTGATTTAGAAGAGTCTGTTGTGTCTTTGATTTCCAATTCTGGTGGGTACATTTGATGGAAGTGGCAATTGTTTTTAAAAGACTATATGTCATCGATATATATGCAAGTGAAATGAAACGACTTTGACCGGTTTTGATCAGCTCTTCAATATTCTGACAGAGTCACCGTGATATAAAAAAACTGTAAGAACATCATAATTATCAGACATTAAAATATTGTTTTTATATGTTAATGGTAGAAATTCATTCAAGCAACACTTCTAACATTCATCGATATATATGGTGTTTACTTAGCATATCTAAGCCATTTCTAAAGAACATAATACACTTTTTTGACAGCATGTGAGCAGAACCCAGCGCTTTTATCCCGCACGCGAACGCTCTAGGCGCAAGTTAAACAAAACTCGTATTTATTTTTATTTGTGTTCATTGGCGCTGTATTCATTTTGTGGTCTTGTATAAACATCGTCTGTTCGGTTGATTAGTTATTTTACTACGTTGATTGCACTGAATTGTTTGTTGTATAAATTAAATTTCCATTAGCATTAACATTCACAGGAGAGAGCGAGCCGTGAAGGTTGAAATTGGCAGGTTTTTTTTTTTACTTTACAGTGTTTAATTGTTTTTAGTTTTAACAGAAGGTCCCATGTGGTAGCGACTGGTAATATTAAACGAGATCATTCTATATCAATGTTAACAAAATCGACGTCAGGGGAGTTAACCGTCAAATATATTTATTTTTTAGTTGAGTGCTCGATTTGCTGATTATAAATATCAATGCTCTGTAAATACCTATAATGATATAGTGACGTCAAAGCTACCAAAATGGATTACAAGTCCAAATTAGTTTCCTTTTATAGCCGCAGATTCACGATCATTATCATAGATGTGTCATTTTGACTGTGAATTATTGATCAAAGTTAGTAATCCATTAATGTTTTTCATGTAGGTTGTGGACCTATAGTTCTAATTTGATCTGAAGCATTGTAGGGTAAAGGGAACTCAATATCTTATAAACGATAGGTCTCCATTCCCTTGAATCTTAAGGTTGGGACCCAATAATATTTTGTCCAAATTTAGTCGAAATTATTGGTTAAAGGGCTCGATTTTGTATAGACGATGTGTCTCGGTCCCATTGGGTAGAGGGGTGGAGTTCAGTATCGGAAATGAAACATTTTCTTTGAAAACATCCTTCTTTAGAAATGCCAGGCGTCAGTCCCAATTTTGTGTGAAACACCATAAAGTGAAGAGGAATCAATGTTCTGTCTTGACCTGGAAACACTGCGGCGAGCGGGGAAGGGAGTAAAATAGGAAATCGAGCACAAATTTTAAAATCCTTTATCTGTAGTAATGTCAGGATTCTGTCCATATCTGGTCTGAATAATTATTGGATAAAGGTGATCAATTTTGTATTTAGGATGGGTCTTGGCCTAACGGGCAGGAAGAGCGAGGCCTACGCGGAAAAGTATAGCGAATTTATTCGAATCCGTCTTCTTTAGAAGTGCCTAGATTCTGTTCGTAGGCAAAGGGGACTGAACTTTGTATTGTGAGAAATTGGGGCCTCTAGGGTAGGAGGATTTGGGGCACTTTATAGGAAGTAGAGGAATTTCTTGTGTGAAGGCAATTTTTTGTATAAATAGTTTCACTGGGACAGAGAAGTAGAACTCAGTGTTGTAATTTCTTTAGTTTGGATGATCAAAGCAAAATAACCGAAATTGTCATATTGGTATTTTGTTTATAATCAACCTCCGTTATGAAAGCTTAAAAAATCATCACAATTAATCTCAAGCATTTACTTACTCGAAAGAAAGATATGTCGTGTGGATAATTTGTTGTTTACGTGTCGCAGTTGATTAGATAATCAAAGGTATGTTCCCAATAACACGGGTTTTGTGTAAGATGTCAACTGACAAAACTCACACAAGGTTTCAAGAGAGGGAAGCAGGTTGATGAACTTTACGTGGAAGTCAAACAGTCGTCATAGTGATCTCATTGGGAAGTATTATTTGTGAAATATGCTAGATGCTTTTATTACTTTGCCTGTCGGTTCCGTTGCTGTATACCTTCTTCTCAATTTGGAATGTGGCATTACTAACTTGGATTGAACAAGGTTTGCATGGCGGGTGTCGTTGATGACGCAGATGACGCTTACTCTTCTGGAGCACCTGGTCATATTCTCCTTTTATTTTTCAGGAGTCTCCGTGTTAATCTTTCTTTTGTTCATATTTCTCTTAGTCCTATTGAATTGAAGATACAGACATGTTGCTATTTTCTCGTTTCTTTTCATAATACTTGTATATGTAAATTGATTATCGTAACTTGTCAAAATGTTAATTCATTATTAAAGTATCTTGAGAAACTCGTTTTAACAGATACCTCATCACTGAAGTTCCTACAGCAGGTGGTTCTATTCATAATGTACAAACGGCTCAATGTATTTTTTGTTGTGATAGATGATCTAATTCAGATTTTAATTGAAGAGGTGTCGAATGGCATCTTTGCTGTAACTATACTTGAAAATACCTGAATATGGATACTGATCGTCTCGGACGTTTGTATCGATATAAGATAGATGAGATATCACTGATTTTATTTTATACTTAGCAGCTATTATGCTATATGATATAGTTCATAGGGTAATGTTCCCGAGTCACATTATTAGGTTACTGAGTCTCATGGTGGCCTATTCTAATCACCATCTTCCGGCGTCGTGCGCCTGTAAAATAATTTAACACTTTCGTCTTCTTTTCCATTTAATTTTGCAGACACCTTCCCTGGCCTTCCATGATGAACCAAAATTGTGCATTATACAGTCTCCACCCCCTGGGGCATGAGGGGTTACGGCCAAAAGGGGTCAAAGTGACTCGGATTTCAAAAATCGTCTTCTCAAGACCCAGTTAGGTAGAATCAAATCCTCTTCATGAATGGAATCATCTTAAGCTGCTTTACCAAAATTACGAATGCATGGCCCAAGGATTTCGTATTTCTCCGTGTGGAGGTGGTCAAATTTACTATGGTTTATATTTTTATTTATATTTTTGAGCATTATCTAATTTCCATTGGAAATATTTAAAGCTTGACTAGAATTATGTGTAAAGATCCTGACAAACCTCCAGGGGCTGTTGGGCGAAGTACAAAAGGAGTCAAATTAACTGATATTTCAACAATCTTTTCAATACCAGATATAGTAGAATTAAATACTCTTCATGGGTGGTAGCTTTACCAAAATTGAAATTTTCATGACCCCATGATCCCACATTTCCCTTTTGTGAGGGGATGAAATTTACTTTAGTTTATATAGGAAAATTACATTTTTGAGCACTACTTCTGTATTTTCTTTCAGAAATAGTTCAGACTTGGTTAGAGTTAGGAGTATGAGTTAACAGTTTGATTAGATGCACATACTGACCACGGCTGGCCCCCAGTGATTAATAGGGCCGGTCAAAAATAAGTCAAATTTACTTAAATTTTATATAGGAAAATCTTATTTTTGAGTGTTTTTTATAATTTAAACTTTGTTAGATGCCTTAGCATAGAACAGCAGTTAATGTTATGCACAATTTACATTTGCATTATGTGTACAATGTAGTTATCTGAACAAAATCATTTCTGTGGCATGTTACAAGAAGCATTGTGACTCAAACCATTCAAACCATTGTCCCCGTAGGACATTTTATTGGCGGGTAACTTTCATATGAAATATTTTTATATAGAAATTTAAGCAGTTGGGTTTCATTTCGCCTTTGGCCTAACTTTGAACACAAGGAAGCAAAAGCCTTGGTATACGTTTTAAAACAGACCCTTAAATAAACGACTTGATATCGGCTGCGTATAGCTGTTGTTCTGCAGTTCCACACTATTTTCTTGTTGCTTAAAAATGGTTCTTTTATTCAAACTCCCTCTCTCGGAAGTGTATTGAGCTAAAATTTAGGAATTATCGCCATTTTTCAATATGGTATTTGGTGTATATTCAAAGAGCAAATTAGCGATTAATACATCAATAAGATCAACATGCTGCTCATTTGTGTCCGACTCAAAAACGACTATTAATAGCTGCTGATTTGACAATTCATTCTTCGAGATAATAGACCATTGAATGAACTTGACGAACGAGGATTTAGTTTCGTATTTACGAGAACATGGTTACGTCCCCGTTCATTCGTAAATTGACAATTCACCTTATTACCACTTAAAGTGATGAACGGCAAAATTCGCTATAGACCGGTAACAGCTTTCATTTCCTTTGTCTGTGTCTTTAAATGCTTGAAAAGACTTAAAAATCTTAACTTGGCCAGATAGACCAATGAACTCCGTAATTCCAGTAACTTTCCGAGGAGATCGCATTTTGTTTAAGCTTGCTGATTTGGGGTAAATACAAATTCCGTATTTTTGCATCGATAAGATAGCTTGGATGTTACAGTTTTTAAAAAGTTGGTTCACTCACTTCAAACTTGCAGACAGCTTGGCATGGCGCTTTGTATATATTTCCTTCTCTACACGATGCCTGTAAAGTTTGCAATCACGAATTTCTGTAAAACCCAAGTTTTCTAGATGGATCAGATTATTTTCGCGGTTGAAGAGAGCCGTTTTTGGTTGAGTGAACAAACAATTTTTGTGCATGAATAACATACCGATAGATGAGATGTCACTGCCGATTTATTTCCTGAACACTCAAGATATTACAGGTAGTAAGGCTGTAGAGTGAAACCTTGTTGTGAAATGATATATCATTGATAACATTGCATTTACGTGAAACGTTGCAATCGTATTATTGTAGGTATCTTAAACAACACAAGAATCTTAAACACAGGGGGAAGAAATTTTATTGGGAATGCAAAACCAGCAGCATTTGAAATTTACTTACATTGTAACTACGTGTATGCATTGATTTGTTAATGCCAATTAGTGAACATGAATGGAATCAATATACCAATAATAAATTGCACTCGGTAAAACCTATCATCGGTGAATGCTCTCCATGCTATAGAGAAAACTACCGAGACGAAGTTGTCCTTGCTTGTCTTCGGATGGGCCATACATACCGTATACATTAATATATGTTGACAGATTGAAGATAACCCTTGGTGTGTAGGATGTGATGAGCCATTGAATGTTAAACATTTTGTATTGGACTGCATAATTAATCTTTTATTGACACGTTACAAGTCTAAAGACACATTTTGAAACTGCTGAGATTTGTAACTTTATAGGTTATCTGAAAGATGTTGGTCTATATAATAGAGTATGACTTACCATTTTAATCTTCTGTGATGATATACCCATTTAAGACTTTTTGCATTTGTCTTTTAGCTTGTGATGTTATTTTTTGATCGCTAACCCTAATGATCCTTTATGTGATTACGGGTCGTTAGGAATACAATAATAATGATAATATTTCTTTGGTTGGGAGGTGATTCATTGTGTAAAACAATCCGACACAATGAACATTTGATCCGGACACATCACTTTAACGCCGCAAACTGATAGATAGACATATAGAGGATTTAACTTTTGCTCTCAGTTTTTGCTCGCGAGGTCTTCGCATTTTACCATACTTAGACTTTTTATTTACTTTTACAGGGATACAACTGGCTCCTGGATTATACGGTGACGTCCTTCCAAACACCCGCATGTATCATCCCCAAGGCAATACTTCTCTAACGATTTATGAATGTAAGGCTCTTACAGACTCTCATCCAGTGGATACATATCCGGTGTCTAGGATTGTTGACGGAGTTTACACTCCAGCTAAGGTATCATGTTCTGGTAAGTCTACAATATTCCGACTTGTGAAGTGAACAGATAGTTCAGACCTAAATACAATCATATGGAAGCCAATTAAGAAAGTATTTATGCCAATTAGTATTATTATTATTACATTCTTAATGGCATTTCAACACATAAAAGGTCATTAGGGCCATCAAAAGGTTAAATACACAGCGATCCAAGAGGAAATAACATTAAACAAACCAAAAGGTAAAAGACAAATGTTAAAAATCTTAAATGAGTTTGTCAACACCAAAGATCAAAATGGTACGTCATAATCTTTTATATAGACCAACATCTTTCAGGTAATGTAGAATTTTACAAATCTCAACAGTTTCAAAAAGTCATTTTAGACATGTTATGTTACGATAAAAACGTTCTCGAGTAGACAGAAGGTCTCTGCAGTCCAATAAAAAATGTTTAACGGTGAATGGCTAATCACATCCTATGCACCGAGGATTATCTTCGACTTTCAACATATATAAATGTGTAAGGCATGTATGACCCATCCGACGACGGCCAAGGACAACTTCGTCTCGGTGGTTGTCTCTATAGCCTGGAGACCATTCACCGATAACAGGTTTAACAGAGTGCAATTTGTTATTGGTATAAAGATTGCAATCCTCCTGCCACTGAGCTTCTAAAATGTGTCTAATAAATGGTTTAAAATAGGTAAAATGAAGTTTAAAAACAACAAGTGGTAGCGATAAAGCTTACTTTGCGGCATGATCTGCTTTTTCATTGCCTGGTATTTCCATGTGCCCAGGAACCCAGCAAAAAGCAATATGAAAGTTAAAAGAAAGTTCATGATATAGTATTAAGGTATTACGAATGAAAATATTTTCGATTTTTCTATTGCAAAGACTTTGTAGTATAGAAAGAGATCATGAATAGATAACATCTCTCATTGCTTTGTTTCTTTGAATACATTCAAGGGCGAGGTAGATAGCTCGCGCTTCTGCCGACAATATTGAGGTGTAGTTCGGTAGCCGGCATCCATAGGTTTCATCTTGTGTAACCATGGCCGTAGCAACCATCAGTATATAAATGTAGAAATATTTCATATTTTAATTGCAATTTCGAGAAGGATGAACGAAAGGTGTAACTGTCTGTGTCTGTTTTAACCATTTCATGAAGTGAAATGTCAACTTCAGGTGAATTCATGAGCCAGGGTGGAATTTCTATCGTTCCAAATGACTGAATTTGGTTAACATCAATATTTGTGTTTTGTAAAAGAGCGGAAATTCAGTACCAAATGATGGAATGGTTTTTGGTTTGAAACAAGGTTTTATATTTTGGGTCAAATACAAGGGGAAAAGCAGGATTTGAAGGATTTGACCTTAGCTGAATGGTGTATTGCAAAGCCAATTTATTTCGACGACTATGTAGTGAGGTCTTAAAAGCTCCGAGAGCGAGCCTGAGACCTTTGTGATGAACAGTGTCTAATAATTTTAAATATGAAGGTCTAGCAGATCCATACACGATGGAACTGTAGTCCGATTGTGAGTTAATAAGGGCTCTATAGAGTCTCAGCAAAACTTTTCTATCGGCTCCCCAATCAGTTTGGGACACAACCTTTAGAATATTCAGTGCCCTAAGTCATTTGGCTTTAAGGTATTTTATGTGTGGAAGGAACGACAATTTCCTGTCGAATATTACAACCAAGAATTTCGTTTGCTCAACAACCGGAATGGGTGCACCACAGAGAGACAGTTTTGGATTGTCGTGTTGTTTTCGAATTTGACAAAAATGCATACAAGCTGTTTTTGATTGTGAAAATTTGAAACCATTTTCATCTGCCCATCTTTGTAGTCGATTCAAACATTGTTGTAGTTGTCTTTCAATGGTATTCATATGCTCAGATCGATAGCATATGATGAAGTCATCGACATAAAGAGCCTCCTCCATTGAAGGGATAATGTTTTGACAATACTGTAATTTTAAGTCCAAAATGTGTAACCAAACGAATGCTGCCTTGTGATACACCCATTTCCTACAGATGAACATCGGAAAGGGTCGTTCCATTCCGGCCTTGAAATACTCTATCTGATAGAAAATTTGAAATAAGAATTGATAGATTACCTTTAATACATATATCGTGCAGACCTTTCATTATGCCGTATTTCCACGTTGTGTCGTAAGCCTTTTCCAAATCGAAGAAAACAGCAACGAAGTGCTCCTTCTTTAGAAAAACCTCACGCACAAATGTTTCAAGTCTAACCAAATGATCGCTGGTACCTCGCTTGGATCTAAAACCGCTTTGTAGGGGTGATATTATGCGATTGGATTCCAGCTACCAAATTAATCTTGAATTTATCATCGGCTCTAGAGTTTCACAAACGCAACTTGTAAGTGATATTGGGCGGTAACTGGAGGGATCTGTTGTATTTTCACCCTGTTTGGGAATAGGAATCACATTTGCCATTTTCGATGACTTTGGGACATTTCCCGATCTCAAGATATAGTTAAAAATATCAAGATGTTTTTCTAATGATGACTCTGGTAGATGTTTTAGGAACTGACAGTGAATATCATCAGGTCCTGTTGCAGAGTTATGTGATTTTTCAACGATTCTCGAAGTTCTAACATTGAAATAGGTTGATTGTAAATTTCATTGTTTTCGGAAGAGAATTTCAATTTAGTATTTTCACACTTGGTCTTGAATTTTTGACATGTTTTGGATTGATTATTTGCAGACGAAATTTTGGAAAAAGCAGATCCTAAAGCATTTGCAATATCAAATTTCGATGTGGCTAATTTTCCATTAGTTTTCAGGTTTCCCATTGTTTTGAATAATGTTTTACAACTGAGTTCGTTTAATCATATCCCATACCTTTTTGGTGGATGTATTGGAATTTAATTTGGACATAAGATCTCCAAGATAATTTTTTGTATGTAAGCATATAGCATGACGGGCTTTCGCCCGAATAATTCTCCGGTTTTTTAAGCTATCGCTTGTGGGGTTGTTTTTGAATTGTCTCAAAGCGGTTTTCCAATGTCGAATAGCTTTATGACAGTCTTAATTAATCCAAAGTTTTCTTTTGGATTTTGGTATACATTATTATCTCAAGAAGTTTGGTTGTAAAGAATTCTAACGGGTCTTCTAAATTCAGCAAATCAATGGTGTTGAGAATTTTGGTACTGAGATATTCAAATTTACTCCATTCTGCTTTTTATATAATTTCCAATGGGGTACATGATCTACAATGCCTTAGAAATATTGGAAAGTGGTCGCTTCCACAGAGATCGTCATGCACCGTCCATTCGAAATTGAGTAATAAAGGTGGGTGGCAGCCACCGAGACTTGGCGGTGACTACATAGGGGGCATTTAGACCGTGCTGGACGTCCATAACATACTGGCTTACGCGCGATTATTCAACTGAAATGTATTTTTATACCTGAGTTCACAATGTATCTCACAATGACATTGATGACTCAAAATGAGACAGTGTCAATTCCTAAAAAAGACTGTACTCTTCCCTGCAAAGAACTGGCCGGAGAATGTCCATCCTGGTGGGAAAATAAGACATCCATTATTGAAAATCTATGATGTACTTCATATCTTCCAAAAAGGATAATGATCATGATAATTATTGATAACTCATCATGTGATTTCTTTCAACTTCCAGCCTCCGACTGTTTTGATCCAGACGTGTCTTATGAAAAGACTGTTTCTGTGACTGTGCTCGGCATTGACTGTCAACGCTGGGACAGTGTTACTCCCCATATTCCATATTATTTACGCGGAAGATCTGATCTGCATAATTGGTGTCGAATACCAGATCACACGGCCAGACCTTGGTGTTACACGACTGATCCGAATAAACGCTGGGATTTCTGTCTAATCATCGACTGCCCATGATAATCCTAGAAATTTGTCATGTTGGTCGAGTGTATGTTTTAATTGTTGAAAGAATGTATATCGTTAGATACTGTCTTGCAGCTAAAACAATCACCTATCGTATTTGCATTGTGTTTTCTCTATTGTATCACACCTAGATACTTTTATATCATTTAGGTCGTATAGCTTAATCGGGCTTCTTGGGTCGATTATTATCTAATATCCATACAAATGATTTCATATTTTCATATTCCCAATATTTGAAATTGACTACTAAAATGTTCCATTCCAATTCACCAGTCTGCGGAAAACGAGACAAGATTGCCCTATCCCAAAACAATGAAAACAACTCTGAAATGTATCATCATCACTTCCTAGCTAGCACTATAATCTATATTTATATATTCAGTGTAGAGCTCCATATTGTATACTTGCTTAAGCCTGTTGATTCATGTATGGCTCCAAATGTCGTGTGTCAAGAATCATCTTCTCCAGACTTATTGAAAGCCCACACAAGAATAATTTATGTTGTTATTTAATATATCTGGTAACGTTTAGACCAACAACTATTAAGTCAGTGTTGTACGAATTGTCAACTGAATATAAAGTTGACATTTATTTCATTAAAAAACAAGTTTTCAGTTCAGTCGGTACCAATGGTACCAAATGTTGAATGAATTTTGCGACTTAACCGAGACTTTTTTGTTTTAATGTGCACTAATAAAATGTCACTTAATAACCGAAAGGCCCAAGATGAGGATTTTGAAGCAGTACCATACTGGGGTGAAGTGCTATCAAGCTTGTTCATAAGAACGACCTTAACCCAATTTTTAAAGTCATGGACTCAAATGTGTTAAAATCTATAAACAACCTTAACATTTGAGTCTGACCTTAAAAGTTGGTCAAGGTCAATTGTAACGTAGGACAAGCGTCGGATTAAGGTGTTCAGAGATGAAAGCAAGAACGCACAGCAATTGTACTAGAAAATATTTACCATTTATTAAATACAGATTCCAATCCACACTAAAGCACATTCACACTCACTTCCACTAACCAGCACATAAAGTTCCAAATATGAGTCCAACACAGCACGGCAGAGTACGATTACAGTAAACATGTAAGTTTACTTTCCCATTTACAAGAATTTAAGCACGCAGCTGTACCGCAACACAACAATCGTTCCCACGCAATATCCCGCGCGCGTGTCAACTGGGATGACATCCACAAAGCCTTCCCCAGTCGATGTGTAGGAGACTGTCCTTTTCCAGATTCCGTACTAACAGTCGATGTGTAGGAGACTGTCCTTTTCCAGATTCCGTACTAACAGTCGACGTGTAGGAGACTGTCCCTTTCCAGATCCGTACTAACAGTCGACGTGTAAGAGACTGTCCCCACTGCTCCTTGACCCGCCCATAGTCACTATCCAACTTCCTGTGGCTGACCTGGGTGCTGACCGGCCCTGTTGCCGAAGCGGTGGTTGTTGCAGGGTCCCGATGGATTATATAAGGGCAATCTCACTCAGTCACGGGAAGCTTACACAAACCATACACGCAAAAACTACACAACCATTACTCACGGCATACCTTACCTGTCATCCGCACGTGCACTTCCGCCTTAGCCGTACTAACGTTCGTGCCATACAGCTACGAACAGATGAAACATAGAAAAGCATACGAACAATTACATGCGATCATGACGTCAATCATATGAACAACCTTATTTTTCATTTTTTTGTTTTGTTCAATAATCTGATAGGAGAGGAAAATGATACAAGACTTGTAGCATACCACGTTGTTCATATGACATGCAGGATCACAAGGGCAAAATATGTAAGAAAAAGGCATCGTGGGATTTTTAGAGACCTGTTGTAATAACATCTGTTTTAGCTGTTTGTATCGTTGCCCCACTTAATTTTTGAAATTCCGTATGACATATAACCCTGATTACATACCAACTTTGATCTACACCACAGTTTAACAACATCCCTCATTATTCATGTTTGTTGGCGATCATTGTACGTGGACTACTTTTCAAAATCGCTTCGTGAATAGCAACTATATTTTCTCGTAAACATCGCACATTGTGGTTTACAACTCTATGCTTTCACTAGGAGGTGGTTTACATTAGTGTGTGTTTTGTAGAATTCACTGGCAATTACTGACATTACAGCTTAACTTGTACAATCAATCATCACAGACACAGGAATATATAACCATAACTGCTACTGATGTTTAAAGGATCATCTGTGGTCTTTCCATGTTTGTTATTAAATGGTTTAACATCCTCACAATGGCCAATATGAAAACGTTTTCTATTTATCATTTGCCCACTTACTGACGGTTGCATAGTGTCATCACAATGAAATGTCAAGCGGAAAATGGTACTGCGATACCCAGCCCGGTCATATTTTCACCATGTTTCTATAAACAAAATATGTGTAAATATCTATATAATATATTGAATTCCAAAAGCTTGTGTTTGACTTTCAGAGGGTATTCTGAACCTGTATAAGAATACGCGTTTAAGATAGATCATTGAATCCTTCAGACAATGGCCTTACTACGGCCTAGACTTCCACAGATTGTTTACATGTGTTTACAGGGTCGAAACCAAAATAGAATTCAAATTCAATTTCGCATGTACATATCCTGTAACAACAACAAATGACAAATTTTGTAATGGATATCTTGGGCAGAAGAACATTTATGAGGTTTTTATGAAAATAAAATATGCAAATCTGATGAGTTCGTTGTTTCATTCATATTTTTTGTTGTTTGTTGACCTGGTACAAAGGACTAATAAGTTTATTCCAATGCGCGTCATCTTTCAGTCTAACATTTTGTGAAAATTACTACTGATTTGAGACAGGGAAATAAATTTTGGATGAATTGTGGGTCTGGAATGTGAGTGGCGGGGTGATAAAAGATGAACTATTCTTCTTTCAAACGCTTCGTCTGTAAGAATGGATGGTAGAGTTTACATAGGAAACATTTCAGAGTGTGTTGTCTTCAAACATGGTTAGAAGCCAAAACATGGGATGGCAATGAATGTTATTGTCACACGTCGACATACTCGGGCAGGTATAATGTACATGGTATTTTAATTAAGCGTGTGTTTTAGTGTTTATTTACTCATGAGTACGGAAGTAGGCGACTACGCATGTATACAGGTTTGAATGGCAGGTGGGAATACGGGTGAAGGTACGACAAGAGTGAAACATATATCACGTTTAGTATTAAATGATTTCTAGATTTATTTCAAAGTTATGTTAGTTTCTTGTTTAAATTTCATTTCGTTTATAGTGCTGATATTTAGTTTTTGGTGCGTATGGGACCCGTAGTATTATCTAGTTCAGGTGTTCGATAGAGCGTTGTTTACAGGTAAGAAATGCGTGCAAGAAGGTGAGCGAGTATTCGTACAGTATCGGGTGTGCCTGAGTTGTTTACACTGAAGATGGAATATATATCTATGTATATTAATTTGATATTTAGAGATATTTAAATAATAACTAATAATAAGTGTATGTATTAGTTCCGCATAATTTACTATTTGTGTTTGCGTGCTTGGGAATAGTTACATATAGTCGGGAACGTAATATGTGTTATGGGAAGGTATATTGCTTATAATGGTATATTTATTTCGTGATTATGTCTATATTGTTATATTACATTTAGTTATAGAACTTAATTAATTTGTTGTAGCTTTTACCGTTCCCACTACTACCTAATAAGTCCCTGACTTAGTGTGGAATTATGGAAACCTATACGACCCAGCGGAATCCCAGTCACAACTCACGAGGGTTTGTGATGTTGTCAAGTACCAACTTGTTGTGAAGTTGGGAGGTTTGACCACGTGGAATGTTGTATTATATTATATACATGAGCTTATCGTTATGTATCGTTGATGTATGGAGAGTCGCACGTGACATATGTGCATAGGGACACATCGTACTCATACTTGGCCTAGGGATCGACATAGCCAGTTTCTGGATACTACTGAAGCTGAGTGACGGTTCAGCTGAATCTATATACTGTCGGGAACATGGTTGTGCTGTTCTTGTGGTCGACTTGTGTTGATGAGGAGAGACTGTGTTCGAACTTTGCTGTTTCGTTACGGTGGTCCAGTGTGGGAACGAAGATTCGCCAAGCTACAGACTGTATTAGTTCTGATCGTGTTTGTTGTAGTGTAGTAGGGTATTATAATATATTGTAGGGATAATATAATATATTATATGCTACTGTGTTGTTGGTATGGTGAGAGAGTATTGTGTGTTTGAGAGTTGTGTGTGGTTATAGGATTGTGTAAATAAATAAACGTATATAAATGTTTCCAGTTGTATGGTTGTATTGCTGCAAGTGATAAACATCTCGGTTACCTAAACAGTCATGCAAGGTTTATCTTTACATTACATGTACAATGTAACTCAATAGGAGAGAAGTTCTTATAACACAACCAGTAGAAGATTTGACTTAACTTTTTTCAATAACGACACTGTTACCTTCATCAGACAAGTGAGAAAGTTGACCAAATCTGCTACTTGTTGTGATATAAGAAATTTTATTCCATTGATATCACCAACCAAAACAAAATGTTTTGAAATATTGCTGTACAGGTTTCTGTACAGTTCTTACATTAACAAGGTCATTTCTAAAACTCCATCCATTAGAGTGATTAAGATGTTAAGTGTTGGTTCGAAAGTTATTCTGCGTATGATTCACTGCTTTGTCAGTCTGGCAATATGATTTTTCGTGATTAATCCCCCTTTTTAATAGAACACGATATTCAGAGGGCAAAAGGGAAAACGTATTTAATAGAAAAAGAAAAGGCTCAAAGGCTATAAAGGTCATCCTATTTAAAATACCGTCTTTATTTTAGTCATAGAAATGACCTTGTTAATGTATGAACCGTAAAGAAACCTGTCTGATGAATAATATAATCAAAAGAAAAAGAACAAAAAAGTGAAAGAAGGTAAGAGAGTCAACATTGAAAGAACAAATAAAGAGACAACTATAGTGTGAGCT